AGAATGAGAAGAACATCTTTCTTTGGTGTCAGTTCTAGAAGGTGTTGTAAATCTTCTTAAAATTGTTCAATTTCAGTCTCCACAGCAATGGTGTTTGGTGCATAAACTTGGATTATTGTGATGTTGAAAGGTCCGCCTTGGATTCATATTGACATCATTCTATCATCTTTGAGATTATATCCCATTACAGTTTTTCCCACTCTTTTGTTGACTATGAGGGCTACTCCATTCCTTCTATGGGATTCTTGCCCACAATAGTAGATATGATAATCATCTGACTTGTATTCGCCCATTCCTATCCATTTTAGTTCACTGATGCCCAGGATGTCGATGTTTATTCTCGCCATCTCCTGCTTGACCACCTCCAGCTTCCCAAGGTTCATAGATCTTACAATCCAGGTTCCTGTGCAGTATTTTTCTTTGCAGCATTGGACTTTCCTTTCACTTCCAGGCACGTCCACAGCTGGGCGTCCTTTCGGCTTTGGCTCAACCACTACATTAGCTCTGGAGCTACTTGTACTTGTCCTCCGCTCTTCCTCAGTAGCATGTTGGACGCCTTTCGATCTGAGGGGCCCATCTTCCAGCGTCATATCTTTCAGCCTTTTGTTTCTGATCATGGGGCGTTCTTGGCAAAGATACTGGAGTGGCATTGCCAATTCCTACTCCAGGTGGATTGTGTTTAGTCGGAACTCTCCACTATGTCCTGTCCATAGCTTCCCTGAGTTACTCAAGCCCCTTCGCCACGACAAGGCAGCAATCCATGAAGGGGAAATTTCTGCTAAACCCCCACAAATCTGAGATCTAAAATACTCCATTCTTTCCTCAGACTTAACTCCTAATTCCACAGAGATTCATTCAAAATAGTCTACATTATTCACTTTATAGTATCTGGGCACTCTCTTCATATCTATGAGATTTATTGGTTCCATTTTAATTTCTTGAGGAGATGGCTCCCAATTCTAGTCCATTCTTAACTGAAAGTCTGTTTCTTTCTTTCTTAACCTTATCTCTTTTTCCTTTTCTAATTCCAGCTCCATTGCTCTTATTTATTCCTTTCTTTCTCCTTTTCTAATTCTAGTGCTCTGATTCTCATCTGTTGCCTTTCTAATTTCCTTTTTATTTTCCAGATTTCCACACTCTCTAATACATCAACAGGGCTTGTCAGTGCAACCTCCTCAGTTCACCACCAGCTTATTCAAGAATCAGGGATTCCATTTCTATTTTTTTCTTTTTCATGTATTTTTATTTCCTTACAATTACCCAAAAACGTTTACCTCGGGAAATATGTTTAAAATCTTCCTGACACTTATCTGTGTACAAGCTAAATTTTATCAGTGACTCCTTACTGTATCCAAAACTTTTACTTCAGGAGATCATGGCACCAATACTTTGGTTTCTCTCAGACTTCCAGTGATTCTCTTACCAATTTACCTAAACGTTTACTTCAGAGAATTGAGGGATTTTCAGATCCTGCATGCTGCCACCAATCATATAACCAGCCTCAGCCCAGGCTTGTCACATTTTAAACTTGACTCCAGCCATTAAACATACTAGATCAAGTGGTTAAAGAATGAAAAAAAAGTTTTTCTCTTCATTAGAGATTAAAAATTTGTAAGGAATCAGATTTCAACACCAGCTTTTTACAGCCCAACTGCCTAAAACACATCTCTCTCCAGTTACATTCTAATTCTCCACCTTTCATTTCTCTCCAGGCCTCTCCTCCTTTGGGCTCCCCTGGATAAGTTGGCCACCTGCACCCCCAGCCAATAACCTTCTTTCCTGTTACCGTGTTTTCCCAAAAATAAAACTGGGTTTTATATTAATTTTTGCTCCAAAAATGCACTAAGGCTTATTTTCAGGGGATTTTTTTATTTTTTTCATTACAACAATCTACATTCATTCAAATACTGTTCAGTTGTGTCATCTTCTGGTCGCTGCACAATGGTGGAGACTGGGGTTTCACTTAACTGGGGCTTATTTTTGGGGTAGGGATTATATTACGAGCATCCTGAAAAATCATACTAGGGATTATTTTCAAGTTAGATCTTATTTTCAGGGAAAGAGTGTATCATGCAGATTGGCTAAGGTTCTGTCACACCAAACAAATGGAAGCCTGAATGTTGACAACACCAATGGCAGTGTGTTTAGGCGAGAAGAGGTGAAACAAGGAGTCAGCTTCTGAGATTTTCCCTTGCATTGAATCAGGGTTCCATGATTCCCCCTACTGTTTCACAGATACATGAAAACCTGAAAGAGGTTGTCTAGAATTTGGTGGTCTGGTACCATCAGTGTAGTGATGATGCCCAACTCCATCTGCTAAGAAGATCCTCCAAGAGGCCCTTTTCTTAGTCTCTCAGGCCCCAGTGTGTGGTGTGCCCCTAAAAAAGTTCACTGTAAAATCCGCAAGGGATGAAATATGCCATTTAAATGTAATTTTGTCTTAAGGTCTCATTTAATCCAGAGTTAGAAACTGGATTTTTTAAAAGAAACTGGAAGTGACCAGCGTGTCACTTCCTGTTTCTGATTAACCAGGGTGCATGTGCTGCATTTAAATGGTTCTCTCACAATTTCTGGGAGATGTGAAAATTTGAGAGGCTGTGGTGCTGCCCACCAAAGACTGGGGATGGGTGATAAATAAGGGCTCCCAGCCCCTCAAAGGTTTCATGTTCTGTTATAAAACACATTAAAATAATCAGAAATTTTATGCTTCTCAATAAGTATATACCATTCATCATTCTTTGACTTATTAATCAACAACTTCTTCCCAGTGATCATGTGTCTTGAAATATCCTTAGACGTGTGCGCCAGTACATCTTTCAGGACCATGTCATTGGCACAAAGATTAATTTTATCTTTATTAGTTAGTTCAGGAGTGGGAGGCTTTTGGCTTTCCATATGTTCATACAAGAATACTGTTGTTTTTCCACGCTGAATTTTTAAATTAATGAAACAGAAAACATAATGACTATAAGGTCATATTTACTAGCAGAATTTCAACTGTCTGAGAGAGCACTATAAATTCTAGATTGAAATTGGTGGGGGAGGGGGCCTGAGTGACCACACACTGGGGCCTGAGAGATTGAGAGAAGGGCCTCCTAGGAGATCATTTTAGCAGATGGAGTTGGGTGTTATCAGCACACTGGTGGAACCAGACCACCAAACTCAAAAACAACCTCTTATGTGAAATAGTAAGGGGAATCATGGAACCCCGAGACACTCTACAGTTGAACGGGAGACCCCCCCCCAGCAGCACTATCATTCACAAAGTGACACTACGTAAGGGAAAATACCCGAAGCTCACTCCTTTTCTCATCAGTTCAACAAGTGTGGATAGTAATGAGCAGAAGAGGGCATCCTATAAACCAACTTAACCGCTGCCATTGGTGTTGTCAACATTCAGGCATCCCTTTGCTATGTAAAGCTTGACATCCTATTTCCTGCTGGTAATGTGTGCACAATTTTATGCAGCAATATCGGGCCATCTCCTGGCTTTTTGAATCATTGGTACAGAAGCATAATATCCCAAATTCATAGACTGGAAGTTTTTTTAAAGAACTGAATCATTTTAAAGAATGGATGAAGAGTGAAAAAAGAGAATTAGAGAAAAGCCTTGGTCAAGCAACCAAGTCCTGAAACAAAAGGAAAGCTCTGGCCTTTGACACTGACCAAAGGAGCAAAGGTAACTGGAATGGGCCTCCCAGAGATGAACATTTTAGTAAGAGGAAGTCCAGGTTGGCTCTATCTGTTGGCCAGAACAGAAGCAATAGCAAAGAGCAGGCAACCTATGCTCCTTTCTTATGGCTCTTTATCTTGGTCAAGCAACCAAGTCCTGAAACAAAAGGAAAGCTCTGGCCTTTGACACTGACCAAAGGAGCAAAGGTAACTGGAATGGGCCTCCCAGAGATGAACATTTTAGTAAGAGGAAGTCCAGGTTGGCTCTATCTGTTGGCCAGAACAGAAGCAATAGCAAAGAGCAGGCAACCTATGCTCCTTTCTTATGGCTCTTTATCTTTCGCTTGGACGGCAAAGAGCAGGCAACCTGAAGGTCTTTATGCTCCTTTCTTATGGCTCTTTATCTTTCGCTTGGACTTGGACTTGGACTGAACAAAACCTCTATAAGGGACATGCTATGCTGCCCTTTAGACATACTTGAGTACAATTTCCATCAGCATGCTTGCAGTGGGCTGATGGAAGTTGTAATTCAGCCCCATCTGAAGGGCTACACATTCCCCAATCCTAAACCAGAAGATATTTTCCTATAGAGGACTGTATTCTGATAGCCTTCTAAATGTGCTTTGCAAGGTAGAATAAATGGAAACCCTACATACTAAGCTACCTCTTAGGTTCTTCCAGTGCCCCTATGACACTATCTGCCATGATTATTCCACCATTGCTGGATCCAGGAAACACCTGTTGTCCTTCTCATTGCTCATCAATGAGCAAGGAACCTCTTTGGACCCTAAGCAGCTGAAAGGCTACTAGATGTCCTAAAGCAGATCTTTATAGATGGCATGTTTGGCATGTTGATGGCAGATGATGCTCAAGTGCTTTGTCTTCCTTCTCTCTTTCTCCTACTTTTCCAGGTAATTTTGAGCCAGGAATGCTCCATGAAAACCAAAAGCTACATAATCCAGAAGGCTCTTCAGGAGTTTCCACTCACAGACAGCAGTGAGGAAGAAACTGAGATTGAAGAATAGGCAACTCCTGCAAAAGGTTGCATAGTAATTAATATTCAGTTCCCTCCTCCTATCTAGAATAGTCCTGTAGGTCTCTCTGAGGAGGTACTAAAATCATGGCGGGAAGCTTTGTCCCACTATCCAGCTATGGTGGATTGAGATGAAACATCTGAAAAACATCTCAAAGGCAAAACATCTGAAATGCAAAATGTTTTCCAGACCTATACTATAGGCCAGTGATGGTTAACCTTTTTGAACCCAACTGGGAGTGAGTTCCAAAGGCTGGGAGAGTCTTTGAAACACAGCTGCATCTTTGATATTGCAGGGATGGTGTTAAAATACTGGTGTGTTTCAAACACTTAGTTTTTTTCTTAACGTCTTTTTCATGGCAAGGGCAAGAAAAAATGCCCCCCCAAAAGCAGCAAAAACAACAACAACAAAAAACCCCAAAGGGTCAAAGGCTGCATTGTGTGAGTGTGCCAATCCTTATTCATTTATTACTTTCATTCCCCCTCCCCCCAGCTCAGGGTTTAGGAAAATTCCTTTTGGTGGAAATGCTGGAAGATAACTCTCTGGAGCACAAGGCCTAGAATCCAGCCTAGAATGGTCAGAAGGTCAACACGGGGAGATTTAACAATCAGAGGGATTGGTGACAGGGGATACATACATACATACTTTTATTGTTACAGCATCAAGCCATATACATAAAACAGAATTAAAACCAGAGCTTCAAGTACAGTACTGGCATATACTGCAAAAAGCCAAATCAAATAAGCAAAAAGCAATAAAACTACAAATATACCAATTTTATTTATTTATTTGATTTGTATCCCGCCCATCTGGTCTATGCAACCACTTTATGAAAGACCAATGTCTAAATTTGGCTATCTATTCTGGCTACTATGGCATGCCACCCAAAATTTCGCTACCAGTTCTGTAGTAATCCAATTTTGATCAATTAACAATTGGTTACAGTAGTCCGAGTCTGATTGGCTTGTCATGTCTTTTAAGAGAGGTGTAATATATTTTCCTTGAATCTTGTTATGCCTGTTACATCTGAGCATCATATGCTCAATGGATTCTATCTCACCAGATCCATAATGGCAGAGTCTCTGTTCCCTCGGGATCTTCTTAAACCTGCCTTCCAACACTGCTGAGGGAAAGGCGTCACATCTGGCCAAAGTAAATGCTTTCCTAAATTTATATGCCTCAAGCTGTGATAAATAGGCCATGGGGAGCAAGCGATATTTGTGTGTGTCTATTGCTCTAAAGTTGGGGCATCTACCGAGATCTATCTGTCTTTCCATGTCCATTATTCTCTGTTTAAGGG